CAATCCCAGACAGAGCAGCGGCGTATCTAGAGGAAGATCGTGGGTTCGAATCCCGCTCGTGATACTGACTTTATCTCAACTAAAAACCTTAATTAAATGGAACTCCTTAGAAAAAGAATCTAGTCGACTGCACTGTACTAAGGTACTGTTAAGTACAATAAGCCAGAAGGGTGCTGTTGAACAAAAACCCCCACTTCCTAGTAACCATCATTATGATCAACTTAATCCAATAAAAGTAAATTGGATATATATAAAAGAATTCGCTAAAATCAAAAGTTGATCAATTTTGTTTTAAATTATACTTTGTCAGAGCGCACACTCGTGATTCACATATATTACATTGTGAGCCCGGCCTCGTCAGTGGGACACTAAGCGAGCTGAGTTAGTAAGACCTAGCCGGTGAGTGATTTTGGTCTTCTTTGAACAGCATTCATCCATTCTTCGCCTCACACTTCCCCCGATTTTTACATTTTGATTAAGTTGGTAAAAAAAAAAAAAGAAAGAAAATATATTTTTAGGTCAATAAGTAACATTCTTCCAACTTGGCCATGCGGCTTGTCGATGCAAGACGGTCATATCTTTTAAAATATAATATAGATAATAAATTATAAATTTATTACAATACAAGCTGCTGATGATGGTTGTAAATTCCCGATACATCCAAATTAGTGAAAATACAGATAAACCAAAACATAACCTGCTTATGTCCCTAATTCGTTACTTGATCAAATCACTTATCTCGTCGGGTCACCACACAACTTTGTTCAATTAGAACACTATAGTTTGGCCAAGTCGGCAATTTTTTAATAAAAAGATCTTTGTTGACTAAAAGTTATTTACAAAGAACTAAAATTTTTCTTTATATCAAACAACAATCAACAGTCTGTCAATATTGCAATTATTAACTAATAATCAATTACATGAAAACGTAATATACACAATTTCATTCGTTATTAAGCACCAAAAATAATTAAGGGAAACGAAATGAATTATAAATTGCAATATACACACCTTCAAAAGTGTTTTATACATAAAATATGTAACGTAAAATGTTTATTGTATTAAGAGATGTTGATTTTGAGCTTTTTTTCCGGATCATCCTATTCGATTATAGGAAACAGCCCTACTTCCGACCTACTTGGGATAATCGGGACTCTACTGTATATTATTAGTAACGGAGCTTGTTTTTATCATTATTGCATTCTCGGATCGATATCTGCCACTCCTTTTTTTCCCCGTTTCTACAGGATTTCGAAATGAAAATCTTAAGGGAGAAAAACTTCAGTGAGCGGATCGCTGAACAGTCTTAATAGGTCCTTGGTTGAAAGAGTGAAATGAGTCGACTTGAAACCGACTGAAAGGAATCGGTTAAACGACCCCCCATTTTCTATGCCTTTTCTACGTGCTGTAAACAAAAGAAAGTTTATATTTTAGCCATCGGGACAGAGCAAAGTGAACAATTCTGACAGTTTTACGCATTATCGATCCTATTCCGGGTCTTGAATATTTGTTTCTGGTCGTTCGCGTGTTGGCTCCATAGATTTCTATCCTTCCTATATCTAACTTTTGTTAGCATGTCTCGTGGGATTTCAATCTGTTATGATGGACGGTCAGTTTTTGCACTATTGAAAAATGAAGTTTCAAAAAGCCTCGAAATTAATTTCAACATTGTTCCATGTCGGTCAAGAAGTATCAATAAAAAATCTATATTTCGTCATAATGGAAGATACAAAAGGTAATAGTTTTTTTTTGTAATTGGTAATTCTTCGATTACAGACTGCTTTCCTTAAGTACAAATACTTGTGACGAATAGCAGGAGTTCGATCAACCAATCAATGTCTTTTATATAATAAAACAAGTAAAAATGTATTATTAATTTAGAAAAATTCCATGGCTCTATATAGAGAGCGTGTAGAAATGCAATCCCATATGAGAATCGTGCTTGAGTACTGCAGCGAGTATCTGGTTCCCCTGAAGGAAACAGGTTTGTCTTATTGTAAACATATTGTATATTGCTGATATTGTGTGCTGAGAGTGAATGTACTTATTAGTCACAATTAATTAAGGTTTTTAGTTGAGATAAAAAAGTCAATTGCACGAGCGGGATTCGAACCCACGATCTTCCGCTAGATACGCATGAAAAATGGCAAAAGGAGGGAAAATTCAAAAGGTGGGGTTGAGATGGGAAGTTGATGTCCGAGTGGATCGAGGTCACGATAGCTCAAGTGGTAGAGCAGCGGCGTATCTAGCCGAAGATCGTGCGTTCGAATCCCGTTCGTGCCACTGACTTTTTTATAACAACTAAAAACCTTAATTAATTGTGACATATTAATTGGTCAAGCGGACCACGAAATCAGTGAATTTAGTACTTATTATTGTGAATGTGTAGTGTAAGGGGGTCGATGGAGGAATCGAGTACCACGCCACCCTAATGGAGTGAATGGTAAGAAAATAGACAAAAATGTATTTAAGAATGAGTGAAATTGTAAATTGATTTGTATCTTGGAACTCTGCGTGCTGAATTGACCTAGCTGTAGATAATACAGACCTAATGAAAATTAAAGTTTTAATGTTGGTCCAACAATACACCTAAGCAATTACTTTAGTTATAAAAGAAAGAGGTTTGCAGGAACATTTTAAAATGTGATGGTAAATGTGAAATACTTTTATTTTTGCTTAAATCTGATGTGTTTGTTTTTGTTTTTTTATGTATATAACGTTATTTTTTATAACTTTATAAGCCAAGAATTTTGACACGCAAATCTTTTATTTACAAAAATTCTTTATTGATAGGATTAGTAATTTCATTGAATTTTTTTGCTGAATAAACAATAGTAGTCTTCAGTTTGGGTAAAGATTTTCCCAGAAATGTTCAATTTAAATAAATCGTCGACAATAAGGAAAAAGATAAGGCCTGCTTTTCACAGGGTACCCTGTGGTACCCCCACGTTAAATTGATAATAGTGTACTACCCACTAGAACCAATTCTAGTTTTTACTATATCAGAAAGATACGATTTTAAAAAATAATAGCAGTTCCATTGATTCCAATTTTGGATAACCTTTGAATTAGTATTGTACGATTGACAGAGATAAATGCTTTGGTGATGTCAAAAAAAAAATGTTTACACCTTTTCTTAACATCCAATTCTTGAGCAATCAGATTAGTAACTACAAATAGGGGTTGTTCTGCTGATCTACCAGGAAGAAACCCAAATTAATTATTACAAATTATATTATTTTTGTAAAGAATTTTGATCAATTTATTTGTGATATGTTTTTCCATAATTTTTTGCTAAGTATGGATTTCAATAGGAGGATTTATGACTGCCATCTGTGTAAAATATTGATCTGTGAAAACAGAGATGTCTTCAGGGCAATCATTGAATTTTGAGTCCGTTTGAGCTAAACTGTACACGGTTGGTCCTTGGCATATGTTTTTTATGTAAGTAGGTGAATGAGATCTATTATTGTACGGAGTTAATAAGTAAAATAAATTTGATAGTTCTTAGCATAAGGAATAGAGTCGATGACAGTGTGGGTCAATCTCTTTTTATCAGGGACTTTTGATGACAATTTTGACAGCATAGAGTTTCCGAGCTGTAAATTTGATACCTTTAATAAAAATTTGAATAAAGTTGTCATTTGTGGTGTTTCTATTTAGTTATGTACCAGATTTACTTTAAACTTTATACTTGGCATATTTTATGCTGTTTATAAATTGTATACATATTTCTTACTACTCATTTATAAATGTTGTTGTGTTAAATATTATGTAAGATTATACTTCCTTGTAATTACCCGTAATCTACTTAATAGTAAAGAGTAAAGAACGTGTTTTTATCATCTTTAGCCAACACCTACGACAAACCATGACGATTTTAATATTGCATTGACTTACACAAAAGTCCTATTTTTTTGAGACCGGGAAAAGCTTCTCGAAATAATATTTTTTTTATTGTTCGATAAATTGGTTTCTTTCATATAAACATCAAATCAAATTAAAAAATACTGGTGTGTTTTAAACAAAGGTCAATCTAGATTGCGTAACATGGAATTTAAAGTCATTTTGTTTATATCGACACAAAGTTTTCCAATTTAAAATATCTACAAGGAAAGAATTGAAATTGAAACTGAAGCCTACTATCCGAAACATGATTCCAACCCCAAACGTACGACTGGGGATAGACTTAAAACTTTAAGTATCCAGCTCGCATTCACCGTTGACAGGAGGACCGTCTGTCTGCAAAGCTCTTCGGTGTGCGTTCGATTAAAAAAAATACATGTAACTTATAATTTACATTAATATATTACAAGAAGCGTGGCGCTACCAAAAAAACAGTACTAGGCCGATGTTTTCACGTCGATTATTGACCAAAAAAATTCCTGTCCACGAGCATGAGTGGGAGTGTGAACACATTTCGTAACCCTTTCCTTTCAGATTTTTTAAATTTATCGAACCTAAAATTGAAATGTAATATAAAATATAGTTTATATTGTCTGTTTCGAGACCGTTTGACCGTTGTAAAAAGAAATCCGATTTTCGCTGACTTAGTCGTTTAAATGTCAATAACATAACAGAAGGGGTGAGTATTGACTAAGAGCTGACTGGACGTAAACAATTTAGAGTCCGAGGCACATTGGCGGTGAGTTCACTCTAAAGGAAATCCGACAAAGTGCGAGTGTGGATTTTCCACCCGCTCGGATTTTCCAAAATACTTTTCGTCCACCTTCCTCGACTTTTAAGAGAAAACGCCCATCGTTCCTATGTACAACCTTCTGAGGGCTTTTTGTTACAAGCACCGAGTTAAAAAGGCCTTTTTCCGACGTCGTCCCTCCTTGGGAAATATCACTACTGCAAAATCGGATACCGTCGGATCGGGAGCGTCTTCGGGCCGGTCGTTCGAAGGGGGCGGCGGCCGTAGTCGGGGGCGGAAAAAGCGATTCGTCCCCGAAAGAGAAGAAAACATGAACGTTATCAGTCGGAAGTTAAGTACTCACTTCATTTTGGTTCGATGTCGGGACTCGGTTCTAAGCGGAGGCGAGGCGTATTCCGTTCAATCGCATCCGCGCGACGTCGCTGCTCTGCTCTTGGTCCGATCCGGCCACTGTTAGCACTGGGACCACATGAAAGTGAAAACGTCCAACATGCAAGGGGGCTTGCTCACAACATGAACGGAGACGCCATTTTCGGGCTGGCCATCGATTCTAAGTGCAAGACGAGAATGGCGAGGGGCTCGGCCAGGCGACTGGGGCGCTTTGGTGGGGGCTCGGCACGCCCTGTCGCCGACCCGCTTTAAACACATATCGCCGGATGGCACCACAGTCCACAAATCACTGTACAATACTGACACCCCCAATCGCTAAGTCTTCCCATTTCAATTTATTAATCACTATTTAATGAAAATTTGAGGCACTATGTTACATCTGCTATTGGATCCATGGTTCTTGGCCCTGAACCCTTTTATGGCTTACTAAACTGCCAAAAACGCGCCTCATCCATCTCACTATCACTCTCAACACGACAGACAAGAATGACACATCTACACGGAAAACAAACACTTTTGAGTGAGTATAAATACTCTGATTGAATCTTAAATTTTCTAGCATTGTATAAATTCATTTTTCCCCACATCCTACATGTATTTGTTCAATGTAAACAATGTTTATAAATCCCAGGCCCTGAAGATGATCTCAATAAAGATCAAAACGTTGGCACGATAAAGAAAATGTTTTCTAAAACTACGTCACACGACCACCAAATAATCATTAACTAACGGTAAACCACACATTTAAAATTTAATTCAATATGTTAAATAGTGATATTTTTAGTTTCTAGATTAGCTTTTAAAAGAAAACTGTTATTAACATTATGTTCCTAAAATAGAAATATTTTATTTTACCTGTTAATTTTTCTGATTGGTACATTGCACATTTATGTTGTTTTTCAAAAAGTTTATACATTTTTTGTTCTTGGCTTATGTTACATTTTATATTGGTTTATATAAATTGTATGTTAAAGGATTAATAATCCGTAAATAAATACATTAAATTTTTTTTTTTTTTTTAACAAATGTATTTAAGTTAACATTATAATGGACAACATTAATAATCTGGATAGCATTACAATATAATGTAAAGATAATCTTAAAGAAACAATATCTAACAAACAATGAATAACCGAAATAATGTCTTAAAAACAAATCACTATTTACCCATTTCATATTATATATATATATATATATGACTGCAAGTATTTGTGTTTGCTTAATAACTGAGGAAGACAGGATTTTTAGTTCAAATTTGACATGTGTTTATAGAAATGATAAAGGTGATTGATTGTGTAAATTTAGTCGCTGGAATTAATGCATCAGATATGCAGAGAAGCAGATATGGAAACATTTTGAAGTATTAAGATTTAGATTATTATTTAAACACCAAGAATAAAGAGAATTTAAATTGTTTTGAAAAATTAATTGGACCAAATAAATAGAAACTGGTTTAAAAAATTTTAGATAAGCGAATCTATGAAAATTTATATCATTAAGTACAGAGTAACTCATTTATAGAAACAAGAAACAAAAGAGGCCCTAAGTGAGAGCCCTGAGGAACACCTCAAGTAACTGTAAATTTAAAAGATTAATAAAAATTAACATTGATTATTTGAAATCTATTTTCCAAGTAGTAGTAGAAGAACATCAGCGTATAGGAGGCATTTAATCCTAACTCTATTTACAGGGACATTCCAACCGACGGCGTCCGAGGCGTCACTATGAAATAGGTTCAACAGAATAGCGCACAGCACACATCCCTGTTTGACTCCAAACCCAACAGTGACCTTCTCAGAGCAGGTATTTTGTTACAAACAAAAGAAACAGTATTTTTATGTATATTTTTCACAGATGGGATAAAATTAATTAACTTGACTGTGGAACTTATTATGGAATCCGCAGAACCACAACAACTAAACATACAACGACAAAATGATAGAAATGATGAATGATGGAGTGAGAGCATTCAATCCTTTTCTCAAATAAGATGGATCCTACTAACATAAGTTGTTTTCCAAATATCCGGATTTCGAACCCTTAGCTCATCATCATAAATTGAATTCTTACCTTCCCATAAAATTCTTTCTTAATATCTCTAATTTAAAACCGAACATTAACAGCATACACTCAAAACGGAGCTGTTATGCGACCCATGTGAATGAATTTAAAAAAAAAAACTTTATGGAGGACATCTCACAAAAACAAAAAGTGCATGCAAGAAGCTGAACATGGTTCTAGGTGGTACTTGGTAGCATAACCAGAAACTCGCTACTACAATTCAACTTATTTGTGTCGGCTCAACGACTACTTAACCTTTGTACACATAATTATCACCTACCTCCATTTAAAGTAGTAATAAGTATGCAATTTAAGAAAATGCACTCCTATCATTGAATGCTATGCTAATTAAAACCCCTACAGGAGTCTTCAGGGTGCACTGAAAAGTGAATATGAGTGGTGTGCATCATAATAGAATGGGGTGCAACACTTCTCTGGAAAAGAAAGTGCTTTTGGATGTATAATGGTTAAAGAAACAAACTTGGGTTTAATAATCAAATTCACAGGGGCAGCATTGACATGCGCCCATTACTGTAAGGTAAAGGTCCTGGGTTCAAATCCAGCGGCCCTGCATTTGAACCTGACTTACTCACAAATGGGCTTTTTTTCCAAAACACCAGCACCCTGAGAGCTGATCAAATTCCTTAATAAAATATGACACACTGTAGTGCTGTAGGTTTGGAAGAGAGAATACAACAGCTGTTAAAGTCTCAGTATAAGAGTATCCCTAAAATGCACTTCTATATCTCCACATCACTGACCAGACAACTTGTGAAAAAATCCTTTTGTATGCTTTCAGGAAAACATAATTTTTGATATTGAATAAATTAATGGTTGATTGTTAATGACACTTGTTAAGAAAAGTCCTCAAGCTGAAGATAGATCTAGAAACTATGAATGCCCTGATGCTAAAATATTATTTAAAATTTGATAAAACAGTGGCTAGTCAATGGTTGGTAGCCATTGAAAATATTTGAGGATCTAAATAGAGAAAGGAAGAAAAGTTGAGTTGTAATAAAAAACAGACAGTGAAAGATAACATACACAAATAGTAACCAGAGTAGTGTAATTTTTAGCATATACCAACTTATAAGTTCCTGCTAAAAATTATGTTATAAAGTTCAAAAGGCAATATAGTTACCCAAACCCACACAATCTCAAACAGTAGACTTTTGTTCCGGAATAAAAAAAAAGATCTTTTGCTGTTTAATGTTCCACAAAAATAGAGCAATTAGAACCTGTGAAGTATTTTATTGATTAATATTATATTTTGTTGTTTTTCTTAAGTAATAGAGTAAATGTAGGTAATTAAGTAAACAATGTTCATACCAACTGCTATAGATTAATTAGTGAAGGCAGTTGGAACCATAAGGGAAACAACATAGGTCACTTGAAAATTCTACAATTATTGAGTAAGGTCAACGGCCAACTATTAAGCGTTAGCGATAAAAAGGTTAAAACCGCTTCAGGGAAAAAATACTTCCAGGTAGTTACTCCGTGTGAATATAACTACAGCGCAGATGATGACCATCGTAACATAGACTGCTTCACCGATGGTTCACTTATTAAAGGCAAGGGAAGCGGTGCTGGAATACATATACCTAAATTAGGATCAGCATCTCCTCCCCTCTTGGTAATAACACCTCCGTTTTTCAGGCGGAAATATGGGCCATTAATGTTTGCTGCAGAACACTTATGGATAATAAAATCAAGGGAAAAGATATTAGAATTTTTTCCGACAGTCAGGTCAGTCTTAGGTCATTACAAAAAGAGTTATCAACATCTAGGCTGGTGGAGGAAACTGTTGAACTCATCAATAGTTTCACTTTCAGTATGAGGATAGGGTAACCCTCATTTGGATACCAGCGCGTAAAGGACACTATGGCAATGAAGAGGCGGATAGCCTGGCTAAAGAAGGCTCAAATACTGCGTTTGTCAGGCCACAACCGGTATTACCCCACTCTATAAGCACAGCGAAAGAGAGTATTAATAGATGGGGCATGAAACAATTCCTTAAAGAATGGAATCTGTCCCCTGGACATAGGCAATTGAAGGAGTTTGTGAAGATCAAACCAAAAGAATCGAAATGGCTATTCTCTAACTCAAGGAAGGGGATTAGGAGGCTGATAGGTATCCTGACGAGCCATTGCCCTTTGAGAAGACATCTCTTCATAATGGGTATTTTACCAGACCCCTTCTGCCATTTTTTTTTAAATAAAAGAAGAAACACAGCACTACCTCGCAGAGTGTGATAGGTACGCCAGGTATAGATTTGAAACTTTTGAAGGAGAGGACATTACCAAATCATTCCCCGTGACCGGATTGAACCGACCAAGTCCCGGACCCTTTAGGGATGGGGTATGAGTCTCGGGACTTGGTCGCCCGCCCTGCTTAATATATATAAACAATGTTCATAATCGGGGAGTCAGAAGAAAATTAGACAGGCCCATTATTTGACAAACAGTTGGAACTCAGAATATTTAAAGTGGAAAAATATTTAAGGAAGTATTTACTTGGTGTAAGTATTTACACTTGATATAAGTGAAATAAAAGCGATGGCTCACCAAGTCGTGTGTGTTAAGCAACATTTAATGTCTAACAAAGATTGTTAGTCATAGTCAATTTTGTGATATGCTGGATGGTGCTATCGGTGATATACTGGTTTCCATCCAAGTAGATTAATGAGAAGTTGGAATAAGACGAATCAGATGGAGAAGATAATAATACTTTATGTCGAGGTTGTGCTGTGAGTCCCTCTAAGTTCAGAAGGATTATGGGAGGTGCTCAATTTGGTATTTAGATAGAAGCTCTACAACCTACTCGAATATTTTCAAATTTATTTCATTTGATAATAATAATTTAATTTTATTAACTCATGCACTGCTTAATCTCTCCTGTAATTGTTTCGTATTTTTTAAATTATCGGCACGAGAGTATCTCCAAGTAATGATGGTGTAAATATACATTAACTGCTTTTTGGTGATGGTTTTTGCTGTCTATAGAGCCAATGACATTGCAAACTATTTTTTAAACTAATAAAGTGTAGAAATTTTTAGCAGATACCCATACATAAATTTTCAGATGTATACCCAAACAAGAATATAAAACATACTCAAACTTAGAAGCTAAACATAAAGAAAAATTCATTGCATATGAGCATTACATTTACACTAAATGGTTTTTGCAGAAATTCACAGTGAATATGGTACTACTACACAAGTAATGTCATACAAATTAAAAAAATGTTTTATCTCACAAAATGATGCAGCGGTATAACAGTGAAAAGCACAGTAAATCTCAACACAGTTAACAATATGAAGGCAAAAAAAATAGTCGACATTTCCATAGCAACATTAATCAAATTTGATTTTTTTTCTTCAAAAACTGCTGATTGATTTAAGAATTAATTAATTTTTGGAATTAATTAATTAAGAACAATTCTCTGTAAGACCCTTCGTCCTGGGCAACGTGCGACCACAAGAAAACTACACAAGTAGAAGCTTCCACCAAATACACTTTATTAGAAGAAGAAAAATAACTTTATTCTGGGACTGGTGTCCCCTAGGAATAATATACATGAAATAAATAAAGGAAGTTCCTTCTGTGAAATTAAAAATAAAATTAAATAAAAATCTTGGCACAATGTATACATGTAAGGCAAGCCATAAGAAAAAATAACAAGAATGTTAAACAAAAATATCAAATATTAACGTAAGGCCTCGGTTTGGAGGTAGAGTAGGTGATTATACAGGTGGGATATGAAGGAGGAAACGGAGGCAGCATGACGAATAGAAAGGGGAAGGGAGTAGAGATTATAAATGATGGGGTGAGTGTGGAGTTCAATCCTTTTTAAAAAAGATGGTTCCTACTCACATTAAGTTGTTTCGCAACAAACAGTTTGCGAAAAACTTAATGTGAGTAGGAACCATCTTTTTTAAAAAGGGGAAGGGAGTTCTAGAGTTTAAGGGCTCGGATCAGAAAGGATCTTTCGAAGGTACAGGTTGTATGTTGCACAATCTTGGCATTCGCCTATGTACGCAGGGATTGTCCAACCATCCCGTTTGTGCGGAAACGGCAAATACGTATTTGCCAAGTGCCGCGTGATTGCTCAACTTACTCCAATCATGATGGACAACAGTGAATAACCTAGCACCCGTTCCCACTAGTCGGGATTCAGCAAATTCCGCACGTCTAGAGCCAGCGTGTCAATTTCTAAGCCATTCCATCCATCTACACCTACTGGATTTAATTTTAAACTAACTAGATTGCAGTTCCATTTCTTAGTTTCCATCTCTACGGTTCTGGCGTTTTTTTAAACACTCCCTCCACTTCAAAGGACTTTAGAATCACTGGCTATAGTCATTTCAGTTGGATATGATTTTTGTTTCTATTCTGTGAAAACCACCTAATTTGCTTTTCTGTATTTGCGTTTTGTTATTTTAATTAATTCTTCACCTATTTTTTATGATTATGTAAAATAAAGGAAAAATTGTAGCAAAAAGTTAAAACAACTTTTATTCAACTACACACCCAAATTGAATGAACGTTCTACAGGCTTGCTTACTTCATTTACTTAGTGCTGCGGGGGACGCAACTATCGTACCATATACTTTATATTATTTAGATAAACGTAACAAAATTTTAAAGTACCATTTACACTACTTCATTATTTTTCCAGAGAGCTATTTTACATGATAAATTTGGTTCTATCAAGGGCATCCAAAATGACCACGCATAATACACAGTCAATGTTAGAAGCCATAAAATTGGATAACAGGACATTTGAGCGAATAGTTGCCATGTCAATGCTCTTAACCGTTGCAGCCACCGACGCCCCCATCTACTTATAAAAATAACTTACCCAAGTTTAACTAACAAAATAAATTTAAGTAACTAATTTATGTAAACTACTAACTTAGGTTGTAAAATTTTTTTTGTTGAAATATTATTTATATTTATATAAGAAAGAATAATACATTTAAATAAGCAATTTAAGAATAATATGGGTTTTGGGCTTACACTCAGGTACTGTGTGTTACTAAGGAAATGATTTTAAATAGAAAAAAAAAATGTATTGTTATGTGTCAGTGAAAACAAAATAAACTTCAATATAAATTAAGTCTGATTTTTTTTTTTTTTAATTTTAATCTTTAAAACTTAATTGCACAAATCTATCTGTCTTTTCTCTCAAGAAGCAAGCTGTTGTGGAGTTTGTAGACTTCTGGCTCAACCAAATCCTGAAGGACCACACCGTTTTCATCAATAAATCTAGCCACTGAACGAACGACGGTCGAAGACCTTGAGGTTCCCGATTTGCCATCTTTGATTGTCAATGTCAAATTGTATTTATCATCATACCTTAAACAAAAAAATAAGTAATTAAATAAATATAAAAATCTTTCTACAAAGGATTCAATTACTTCTTCAATGCTGAACTCGCTTCCCAAACATTGTCCGGTACGAAACCGGCTGGGTCCTTCTGCACCGCGACTACAAAGATGCCCTTCTCCTTGTATGTTGTATACAGGGTCAAGAGGCCCATGAAAACGAAGTAAAGACTTACACAACATATCAAAATTGTCCTGCAATAATTGTAATTAATTTGAAAATCATTAGATGATATAAACATTTAAACTTGCCTTGATTGGGGAAATGGATATAGCCAATCAAAGATAAGAGCAAATGAAGCGACTGTAACAGCCAAGCCACAGAGCAGTAGACGACCATCGATAAGCTCAAATGTTTCCGTATAATTATACTTTTTTGTCAACACCTTAAATTTATACAAAATAATAATAATATTAATAATAAATCTATGAACATAATTTTTTACAATTAGCTTTACTGTAAATTTATTTATATCTAGACTAAAAACGTAATGTACCATAAATATTATTGACCGTTATACGTACAATAATAAAATTTAAATAAATTAAGAAAACCAAAATATTATACTGAGGTCTGCAAGTTAGTGAAACATTAACATAAATGTATGATACATTATTTATTGAGCGTATAAAGAAATTGTTATGCGCTCCCTTAGTTTAATTATCATCGGATAAATATTTAAAAATCTATATGACAATGGAATAATATACTGTTTCCAATTAATTAATCTTTATGAAAGGTATAGGTTGAGATAAAAAAGTCAGTGTCACGAGCGGGATTCGAACCCACGATCTTCGGCTAGATACGCCGCTGCTCTACCATTTGTGCTATCATGACTTCGATCCACTCGGACACTAACTTCCCATCTCAACCTACAACCGTTCGAATTTTCCCTCCTTTTTGCCATTTTTCAATCCCGCTCGTGACACTGACTTTTTTATCTCAACGAATCGGACCACAAACTGTAATGGATTTAATATACTGTTTATTGAGAGTAACAAGTTACAATTAAATACATATTTACTGTTTATCATCTGAAAAAAATTAACAATAATAATAAATGTCCAAATTGGGATCCCAAAGTAAGTCCAGTTATAATGATTAATTAGTATCTCAAATCATTTAGCTACAATACTGGTTCTGGGTTCAAATCTGGTAATGACTTAGAATTTTTCTAAAAATTACTTTAAAAAAAAAAAGCATCGGTGGCCACAACGGTTTAGGTGTTGACACGGCGCTCATCACTGTAAGTTAAAGGTCCCAGGTTGGAATCCAGTGGCCCTGCATTTGAGCCTGACATACTTACAAATGGGCTTTTTTTTTTTCAAAAACACCGGCACCCTGAGGGTTGACATAATCTCTGCAGTTGTGAACCCTCGTAAAAAATAAATAAATACTATAAAAAAAAGTATTGTAAAGTGGTGTTACCCCCTCAGCCTACTATCCAAAATATTCAAGACTTCTACTTACAAAAATCCTTCCCTTCTTTGCTTTAAAGCTCTCAGACACACAATTTGGTTTCCGCACTCTTCATTCCTGTACACAACAGCAACAGAGGGGTCATACCTTCTCTGTACATTTTAGTGTCAACATCAAGATCTATCAAAGCTGATGTGCCTCAAGGTAGTGTACTGGGACCTTTCTTATTATTTAGTACACACGACCTAAGAATATCGTTATAGCCCAGGTTGCAGACACTATTGCTGCTCTTAAAACAAGTTCTACCACAGAAGAGACTCAAGAAGCACTCGACACATTCTTAGCAGAAATAGGCGAGTGGTGCAACAAGTGTACGGCTAAATCAACACCCTAAAATCAACAGTTGTACAATTAACTTATCTATGATCAGACACTGATGCCAGCCTTCCATTTCCGAAAGTTTCAGATTCCAACTGCAAAAACTGTGCATTATCTGGTTTTAAGTCTTCACACGTATAAAGAATCTGGTAGATAAAATATGCAAAAGAACCAAAGCTCAAGAAACCATGTTCACTACCTATGAAGAGGGCAATATATCTCTTACTGATTTGAATGATTTAGACATACTCCTGGGGCTTATTGGGTTTGGTGGCACCTTCACACATGAATTTAAAAAAAAGATGACACAAAACAGAGTACTAAGACTGGTGTGCCTTGGAACATCAGAAACACTGCTACAAAGAGACTTGAACATCCCAACGGTTGTTTAAGTGGTCACATACTCATACAAAAGGCTACACTATAAGATGAGCAACCACCCCAGCCCCACAAGACTGCTCGCAATAAAGTGAAAAAGGCCCCAGGACTAGTGGCATGAAGTCAATTCACTGTCAAAACTGTGAATATATATTATATGTGAACTTCTCTAACTTTTTATTTTTAATACATTAGTTTCTTTAGAGCATAATGTTATATGATACAAATTTGCCTTTTGTTTGTTACGCCTAATAGGTCAACATACACTCTATTTTAATCCTGTTAATGTAGCCGAAATGTGATTTTGTTTTGATTCAAATCTGGTCAGTACTGCTTTATACTATAACATGAACGGTGAAACACCAGTTCAATTCACCAAATGGAAAATGGCAAAGAAATAAGTCAATTAATTTGACCACAAAGGTGTGGGGAAATCCTTTCGCAAAAATGGTTAAAGCGCGAATAAAAGTGTTTATTCAGTTCACACTGGGTGTAGAATTTATAAAGCAATGGGATTCATTAAAATTAGACCTAGATCAGGATGGCCACAAAAACTTCAGCACCATCTTGAGTAAGCCATCCTACGAACTGTTCATTAAAATCCAAAATCAAATGCTCCTACAATAGCTGCTAATTTACTACAGGATTACAAGATTGATGTAACACCTTAAACCACGCGTAACGTATTACAAAATAATCTCAAATCACGATCTACCCTCAAAAGGCCACAAATCAGCAAAGCAAATCTAACTAACATGGTTCATTTGCAGAAAATAACCTCGTTCAGCATTCTAGCTTTTCAGACAGTTATTTTCAAGGAACAGTGTAAATTTGATATTTTTAGTACTGATTGCAATGCGAGAGTGTGGAAAAAAGAAATGAGGGCATGAAAAAAGTTCTACCAAATTTTTTTTTAACAGCATGAACAAGAATTGTTGAAAAGATAGAAATGATAAAGGTGGGGTGAGTATAATGATTATCTCTTTATAATAAGTGATAAATATAAAGAAGGCCCTTCAGACCATTAGATTTGTTATGTTAATAAATTAACTTTTTGTTATTGATTTTCTATGCATATGCACTGTTTTGTAAATACTTTGTTAAGTTTTTAACCTTATTTTTTCTTGTATGTCGATGTAGATATATTAGCCAAGGTGTAAGACTGTGGCTTAAGAGCTGTTGTTATAGGTTAGCACACCGGTGAGTTCTAGTACTACAAGTTATTTTATTGCATTGGCTTCAGTGGTTAAATCTCTTCTACAGTTATGTTGTACACCCCAAAACACTACCTCCTCCTGCGGGAAAGTGTAGTGCCACAGTCTGTTAGTAGTTCTGTTGCTATTTTCTCTCCTTTGCAAAACCTGCCCTTTCCATGTGGTTATGCCAATTTTCTTCAGACATCCATTCAGTTTACAGTGTCGTATTAGGGTTCAGTTTCCTTTTAAAATTTGTTAAGAGGTTCTTGTCTGAGGTGCTCATTGATAGTGTGGATTCCTATGGCACAGAAGGGCTCGGGTCCTGTCATTGATATAGCAGTCCCTTTTCTTGCAAAGGCTTGTCTTCGACTCCATATCCTGGGGCTTAGCATAGCATGAATTTGTTTTGCATACCTAATCTATTTAGTTTAGTTTTGCAATTCAGCAGCATCTTTGAGCTAACTATTCCAAGCTAGCTATCTTGTTTTTGTACATTTTATTCAGACTGAATTGGGTACCTCTCAGTTGGAAGATTTCTTATAAGTATAAACTGGCTAAACCAACTTCAAAGTATATCAAATCCAATAAAAATGCCTATATTTATTTATTTTTTTAATTGAAAATTTCAAATTATAATTTTTCATTTGTTTTTAACCACTTTTTTGTCAAGATGTTAAGTGTGGCACCGTTTTTGCTGTGGAACTCCATGATGGTGTTTTTTATAAATAAATATAAGCCTTTAGTTCCAGCAGGTTTATTTACATGGGAAGCTTTTCAATTATTTTATAATCTTCAGCCCCTTAACTCATAGCCTTGTTATTTTTTTTTGTTTCGCCTTCACCTGAAAAAAATATTTAAATAACAAGGCTGTGAGTTAAGGGGCTGAAGATGATTATAAAGTAATTGAAAAGCTTCCCATGTAAATAAACCTGCTGGAACTAAAGGCTTATTATATTTATTTATAAAAAGCACTTTTTGATATTAAGACATCCTTAGGCCAACCGTACATTGCTTTGCCTGGATGATGAACCTGAATATCAGTGTAATAGGTATACCTGCACAGGTAATGAACTTATATAAGGTATGGTAAATTTAGAGGTAAACTGAAGGTTTTAGCTTCATTAGTGAAGTCTTTAATTTCTTTGGAGTGTTCCTTTTTTCTTTCTTTATATTGCTCCTCAGATTTTTTTTTCCAAGACTGATTCCTTTGATGATGTGTTTGAAAAAGAATTGAATTTCAACCTGGTCTAAGTTACCTGAACAGGTCAGCGATGTCATTTGTGGCCAATTGGTGCAGGTAAACCTCTCTGACAGGCCACAAGGTGTGTACCGACCTAAGTAAGCATTGGTGATTTTTTTTTAAACCTAAAGTGTGTAATGTTTTCAAAATTATTAGAATGCTTATAATATTGAATTAACAACATTATTTTGTTAATTTGAGCAGTTTTGTAAATTGTCCATATGTAGTTGTAAAAGGCTAATTTCTAGTTTTGTCATTTTGCCGTCGCTTTGTCAGGTAAGGTAATTCTCTCAGCGATGTCAAAGCAAATACTCACCTCTGCGACAGCATCGTCCAGGGCGTTTTTCACAGCGGATCCGTCCCATTTGTTAATTTTCACGGGCTTGTCCTGGAAGAAAGAAAACGTTCTTGAGTAGGGGAAAATTAGAAAAACTTTTATATATACGGCTGCAGGGCCGATTCGTCCTTACGTCGGATTTCGAGCCTTTGGAAGTCATCCTTATTCGCCTAGGAGGTCGCTGGAGCTGGAGTATGTTATGTGACGTGTCCCAGCTTGAACTTGAAACGACGCCAGTTGTTTACCGCGAGGTTCTCCGGCTTTGCGACGTCGACCCGATTTCAGCGGATTGAGGCCTCGTCGAGTGGCGCTACACAGTTGCGCTACGGGTGCCATGACGTAACAGCACGGTAACTGGCAATCACCAACCTTAAAAGCTTTTGGAGTTAAAAAAATTAAAACCAAATTTTGATATTCCCCAAAGTATATCGCACCATGATGAAGTCTTTTGTGGTTCTGATTCCAGCATTTACTACTTAATTACACTTTTTTTAATATGTGGTGATCAGTGACCGTTAGTCAATGATTATTCAGAAATCGTGAGATGCGGTCTGTTTTTTTTCGTTTTGTCCTTCAGGATACTTTTTGCTTCGTGCCCATATGTAGTTGAAATTTGTTCATAGAATCACTTTTTTTTTTAAATGACTACAATGAAGTTTCATTGGATATCATAGTACGCACAGTCTTCCTATTCCTCTTTACATATTATTTATTAAATAGATCAGTTTCTTAATTTATGAAAATTCTTCCCATTTATAAGTGACTAAGGGCATGAAAATTTATCACCATGATAGTATTCTTTCTGTGATCCTCAAGCCAGCATTATGATCAATTATTTCCATTATCACACTCTATATATTCGTGAACAACACAGATTTAAAAAACTCTCATCTGATCTTCCTGTTAAGTCTGGCATTCCACAAGGTGCAGCTTTAGGACCTTTATTGTTTTCAATTTTTATTAACGACCTCCCTTCTTGTTTGAATTACTCCAAATATCACTTATACGCTGACGATACCCAAATCAATAATACACACATGTCCCTCTAATTTAATCTCTGATTCCATTCAACCCACTAACAAAGACTCTTGCTTGGTTAATTGGGCTTCACACAGTGGTCTCAATTTAACCGACTTAAATTTCAATTGATTATTATCCCCAAACTGTGGTCTGCCAACCTTAACTAGGAGGTCCATAGCGAGCTTTGAGAAAAATTAATATTTACAAAAATAAATTTAGAATGAATGAATAAAACTAAAAAAACCAATAACAATGAGTACTGAAAAAAAGTTTTTTTCATTTTGCAGCAGCAGTCTGTATTTTCCACAGACATTCTTTAGCTATTAAACAAATGCCAGCCTCTTTTAAGAAAGTTTTGGATGCTCTGTTCAAAATATTATTTATGTCATGTCATGGCCATTGAAGTCAAGATTTTTCACAATACTATGTGATGATATGGGAAGCTTCAACATTCCCTGGTTCTCCTGTCTCCATACAGAAATGAGGTGGCCGTCTCTCGATTACAGGAATTACGTTCTAATGTTTTATCTTGTCAATGGATCACAATGTCAATTGGCCAACTTTTTCAGTGGTGAAAAAATGACAATGAATACTGTCAAATTTGATGAGTCTTTGTTTGCAAGGATAGAGTATCACAACCCTTGAGACAATTTTCAAAGATAGCGCCTTCAAAAGAAAAATCCAGTTTTGACAAAGCCAACTTACTTTTATATTATTACTACTTCAAGACTCTGCCTTGAAATCTACTTTCTAGTCCGATACCCTCAGTTTTGACTCCCTTCAGAAAACAAAAAATTTGAACCGCTCGTTGAAAAAGCAAAACTTGTTCCATTTGCCACAATTCACCTATGGGAATCCGAATGTTCTATCTGTACAGCTACCATAACTAAATACCAAAGCTGTCCAGATACTGAACCGGACATCCATCTTCAGCTATCAAAAATTAAAATGAACATATCCAAATTGTGCAGGCTAAAACAATCTCATTTTTCCAATTAATTCATTAATCAATCATTCATGTTCAAATTATTACTTTTGAAATTGGATAAGAGTTTTAAATAACTATTCATTTCATTCTGCCCAATTTGATTTTTGTGTTCTAGATTTTTTTACATAGAGTTAAGTAAATTGTTTCATGCTAAGGTTTCTATTAAATATTTATTTTGAATAATGCTTTATTAGCACCTTATAATAAGGCGCTAATAAACCATTATTCAAAATAAATATATAAAGTTAAGTACATCAATAAAATGCTTGTTTTCACAGTGATATCCCCCTACATCACTAGTAAGGAATGGAGTGGCTAATTTATAAAACTTTAATTTACTATATAGTGTAAGTTTTAAATTTCAAATACTTGAATGAAAGGTGTCCACCCTGGAGTTTGTTTTTTACAACGCACATCTGCCAATTGAGGATTTTCCTGTCCTGATGTACCTTGTCCCCTAATGTAGTAAACGCTCAATTTTGATCCTTTTGTCTTATTTTAGTCAATGATTTTAGTTTTTGATGAAGGTTGTCTAAATTATTCCATTCATTTTAAAATGAAGATAATGATATATTTACATTAAACTCAGTAAAAGTATCGTTATTAAAACGTCATACATAATTTATTGGCTCTTCTTGGTTTCTTGGTGGTAGAAAAAACAAAAAAACAATTACTGTGGAAACTTTAATAATATAGATAATCGACATACATAAAATATATAGCATGTAATTAATTATTTTCAATATATATTATATGCATATAATTATTTTATTAGATCCTATAGAATTTTTGATATATATTTGTATATATCTTTTCATGACTGCACCTAAAATCTTAACAATTCATGTTAATTTTAATTGATATTTCATACAACAGTAACAATTAATCTAATAGGTTAACATTATAAAAGAAAAATGCACCAACAGTCATGACAATACGGTTTTGAGAAAATAATAATAATAATAACATAAGGAATGGAACAGTTAAGAATATTTATCAACAATCGCTATCAACTTACATCAAATTTTCGTACAAAAAATAATTGGAAAAACTAAAAGGTGCACAAGGCAAAATTTGTTTTGGGCCGATAGTGAAAGGATGTATAATTTTAATATTAAAAATTTCAAAAACAATATAAATCAAAAATATAACAATTGATAAAATATAGAATAAATATAAATATTTACAACAATTAATTTAAAAAAGTGTTAATAACGTATGATTCTCGGATATTTTTCTCTTATGCACCTTTTAATGCGGAGCTAAAGTTGGTATACCAAATTAAAAATTCTGGAAGAAACCAGGGTAACTATCAAAGCTTCGAGCACCGTAATATTGCACAGTCTTTAGCTTCACAAAGATATCAGTATGATGGGATCCATACATTTGGGGTTTTTTTTTTCAAGCTCATATGAGAACAAACAAATTATCGATACAATAAAACATCTTTGTCTGATTAACCTATAAACAGATCAAAGAGAAGAGGCCATTAATTTAAAGAGATAGATTTGTCTAAGCATCCCACTTATAACGTGATCATTTAGCATTAACAAAAAAATGTTCTTGTTATTATACAATTACATTACAAATGAATCTGCATTATATTTTTTTTTTCTGCTTTTAGTTTAATCTTATTAGAAGAAAAGATTGGCCACGATTAAAGAGCGAGCTCATGCATGCAATTCCCACAATACAAACTTTTGCAGTCTTAACCATTCTCGCAAAAAATTCACTAACTGCAAGTAAATTGACACGTTAACTGGCTGAGCAATATCTGAATATACATAAAATCCGTCAAATATTTTAATAACAAAATAAATAATTAAATATGTATATTTCAAAAGACACGATACTTTCGTTAACTTCAATAATGTACACTTTATAAATGTAAACAATAAGTAGGTCATACATATATGTATATATAACAAAATATATATACATATAAGACACTAAAAAAATAAGAGAGATTATATCTATATATAATATATACATACAAAACTTTTTTTTTTTTAAATAAATTCATATACCCATCTGTAAATAATTTCCTATAAGATATATATATTACATATAGTTATATTTATATATAATTTTCTTTATAGTGTTTTCAACACTGCTGACCAATTTAAATACTGCAAGGAATAAGCTTTATAAAAAATAACTCTCTTTAGTATATAAGTTCATCTGTGCGCACAAAATATGCTTCTTGGTTGGGATTTTTTTTAGGTTTTTATTCCAATTAATTTTCAATATAGACATCTTTTTACTATCTTTATCGTATATATATATTTCTTAAAAGGGATGGTTTGCAATGTCAAAAAAACACAATTATTGCGTAAAATATCAACAATTTTCTGCTACTTATTTCATTTTGTTTCCTTCAGCAGTCAAATATTGATTTCTAGGGCAGTAAAGAAAGACAATCACATTTGGTACACCACATACAAAGATATGCCGAGTGCCTTTTTTTTTCTTTTTTTAAAATATTTTGATAATATTAAAAATTATAATTATAAGGGAAAATAATCTTAATATATGGAGTGTGCAATTATTATTGCTACAAGAACAGCGAGGACAATAAAAACCGAGAGGATGATTCCAGCCCATTGTTGGTCAGTTAGAGGTCTATTGCCACCAGCCTGAAAAATACACAACATGTTAAAATAAAAATCGAGTTAAATGATATACAGAAAGCATGTAAGAATGAGGTTAAAAAATGTGTGAAGGTGATTATAATTTATTTATGTCATTTTGATATTTACTTATATAAGTGTTGAAAAGTATATTGACTTATAACTACATAATATACCAAGCACATTGATACTTGACACCATTGTTAGCTAGACATCTTACAATAAGAAAGAATAAAAAACTTTGTTTAAACAACCATACAAAAAAGGCTGTAGATCCGAAAGGGTAATCATGCAGATGTACCCTGTACCAAACTGGGAAACAGCCTTGGAATTAATTAACTCCTCGTTGACACAGAGGCATAGATTTTGCTGTTTAAAGATTGGCTAGCAGAATTTAGGCTCGAACTGCCACGAGTCCAATATCTTGAAAATATAAGAGTTGGATTGCGAGATAGGAGAAAGGCGTATATGGGTTCATCTGTTAAAAAAATTATGTCTTAGTCCTACACCCCAGTCTGAGCCAACTCAAATTTGAAACCATTCTTGGAAAAAGCCAAAACCAAACTAGGTAATAAACCAATTTCTAATGACCGAATTAACCCAAAATATAGCAGAATTAGAAAAAAAATATTGACCAGTGTTTTCTGAAGTTGGAATTAAAAGAAGTAACTTTTAAGAGGCAAATTTTCTAGAATCTTGTTGGTAAAGTAATAACAAAAAACTTAGTTTAAACAATCATACAAAATAAGGAAGTAAATATATCTCTGCAATAATTATATAGTTCGTGAAATAAATAAGAATGTTGAAGGGTGTCACAGACCCAGACAGGAGCCACAGGATGTTTCCCTTGAATCTGGAAAACAAAAAGTTGCAGTAGTTGGACAACTGGTCAAATATTTTCAGCTTCAGCTTTTCTGCTATTTTCCTCCACCTTTCAAAGTTAGTTCCATAAACATGAAACTATTATTACAAAAGAAATAGCAACAGGGATATCGTCTTGTTGAGCTGTCATGATTCACTGACGAGTCGTGCCATTCTGTCACCCGAAGCAATTGAAAGCTGTGTCGCCCCATCCAATACCGTCGATAATAATTGGCATTGCATCACGATTATGCTGGCAGTGGTTTAGTTGCTTATGTAAGGAATTCATGTAGTACGTGATACGGTGTCAATTGCTTATCGCATCATTTGTCTTATCATATATTGCACTCCAGCAGGGCCTAACAGTTATCATAACTAAAATTTAGAATTAAAATCTATCTAACAGATTAATGAAAAGAAATAAACTTAAATTGTACTTTTAATTATACAAACACAAATCTCTACATAAAATTAAACTACAGTAAAACCTCCATTATCCGGGGTAATGACGGGCAAGGGTCTACGGAAAAATCGAAAACCACAGAGAATGGATTTTTTTAAACGTGTTAATTACAAGGTGAATTAAGAATGCATGCGTACATTAATATGTACTTATTGTAAAAAAAATTGATTAAATTTTTTCTTTCCAAAAATCATTCAAAAAATTCAGAAAAGATCGAATTGAAAAATTATCTTCACAGTAACATGACAAAGCAGTACTAAAGTGAAGGAGTAAAGTAAAGGCTTTTGACACCGATTCAATTCCAAAAATACCTCCAACACCCTATAAGTTTCGAAACTGGGGGTTGTCTACAAAAGGTGCGTTGTTCTGGAATGACTTCGGTAATAATAATCGAACCCTGGATAATGGAGGTTTTACTGTTTTTGTCTTTCATAGATCAAATTTCAAGATTATCTGTGGGATAGAATGTATAAACTGTTGTTCTATATGTGTACTAAATGTAACTATAAATATCTTTGTTTTGCTGACCCCCTCATTTACATCCACTGGTTTCGAGATGGCGTCTTGTTTGTTCTTCCTCCTCTTAAAGGTAAGATTTACCTGGTGATTGTGAGTTCTCACACAGTGCTGAGGTGGGTTTTCATGGTGGATGGGAGGTGTTGAAACGTTGATGTTTTGACAGTAAGATCCTTCGACCGGTCCTTTTGGGCTTTGCCTTACAGCACAGACTCTAAATAGGTATTCGGCTCCGGCATCTAGATCCTTGACGTCACAGTGTGGATCTCTTCCATGATAAACCTAAAAAAAGTTTGATATAGCAATATGTTCTGTTGTTGTTTTTAATGAATGTTACCTGTTTGAAGACTTGTTCTCTTAAACGGGCGCATTGAACTGTGTATTCTATGCTATCGTTACCCTGTGGTCTCAATGGTGCCCATTCTACAGTACAACTTCGGTGGCTTACATTTGTTGCTTTGAGTCCTGCAGTGATAAAGTATTTTATATTCTGTTCTGAAATTAAGGTTTAGCCAGTACTGACCTTTAACATAAGGTGGTGGTGCTATGCATGTTGTAAAGGTGTACACTTCGCTTTCAGGCCCTTTCCCAGTTGTGTTAGCCGATGTGATGGTAAAATTGTAAGATGTCTGTTCCTGAAGCCGCGACACCTTACAAATAGTATTTGTGCCTTCATAAACGACTGTCCTTCGGCTAGAATTAATAATTAATTTAGTAGAGATTACAATGGAATTATACATGAAAATTTGACCAATTAATCCGATCACCTTGATGGGGAAGTCATCGCAACTGTAAATGTATAGTTGTTGACATTTGAGTTTGGCAAGCCCCAACGGAGCTTCAGGTAGTTGTGACCCACTGTCGTGCACGAAAGTTGTGGAGGTTGAGGAGGAAGTGGGAGGGTCGAGACCCTTAGACTGGAAACAGATCCGGGACCGACACCATTCACTCCACGCACTCTTATCCTGGAAAGAAAGCACAATTATATTTATTTTCTATTTTTCCTTCTAAAACCACAAACCTGTAAGTTGTTGCAGGAGAAAGGTTTTCAATAACACAATTGGTTTCTGTAACTGTTGTAGAACTGTCACCAGTATCTACAATGTAGTGGGTTACAGGGTCACCGTTCGATACTGGCAAACCCCAGCTGAGGGAAATACTGGTTGGAGTTGCCGTGCTTTTCAAACCGGTTACGGATCCAGGAGAACTTGGACTTGTCATGATGGTGCTCAATTCCGACCAGCTGCTACTGCCTAAACTGTTCACAGCCTAAAACCCAAAGATGAACAGTGAATAATCGCATTAGGAAGAATGTAAACAATCAAATACCTGTAATCTAAATACACAAAGTGTCGCAGGAGGGACCAATTTTACATCACATTGGGTAGATAGTCCGCTAAAGACAGATGTGTAGTTTTCACAAGGAGGAGTAGTCATCTGCAGAATATACTGGGTGATAGGGCTTCCATTGTGATCGGGCGCTGTCCAAGAACAGGAGACTGCACCAGGCGATAGAGACAGATTTGGAGCCGAAGGACGAGAAGGAGTTGAGTTACCAGAGGTAACTTTCAGTGGATTAGACCAAGGACCCCTACCAACCTGGAATGAAATTGTTATAATGAAATATCTCCTCTGCGTACATTAACGATTTGGCTTACTTTGTTTATTGCCCGTACGGTCAGGGCATAATTTTGAGCTGGACACAAATCATTAACAATACATTCAGTCTCCTTTCCTTTATAAGCTGTGACCAATTCTTCATTGCCCTCGACTCTCTTGCACATAGCTACTTCCATTTCTGTAATCGGACTGCCACCATCCGATTCGGGATAGTCTGAAAAACAATTAATATTAGAATTAACCAATATTTATTAAAAATATTTCGTCCTTACTCCATTTAATATGGATGCTGTGTGGTTTTGGCTTGCCATGAAGTCTCGGAGGCTGGCACTGTCCAGGACAAATTGGATCAGTGGTTATGATCGCCACCTCCGAAAAATCACTCACTCCACCAGGTCCTTCACAGCAAACTCTAACACTGTGTTTTGATCCAGGTTCAAGGCGTTCAATGGTGCAGGCAGGCAATGCCCCTCTATAGGCGGTTTTGAATTCTAAAAACAAAACGAAAAATTAGACATTTCTTTGAAGTTCCCAAATGTCAGAACGAATTACGTCACCTGCTCCATCTTTAATTTTGGAAATCTCTAAGGTATAATTGGTGATTGTGGAACCGCCTTTATCATAAGGTGGCTCCCATTTCAGCTTACACCTTTGCCCGTGCATTTTTCCATCCTGTTGAGGACGTCCCGGAGGCCCTGGCCGGCCTGGAAGGGTGCTAAAAAAAGCTTCCTCGGACCATCTAGATACCCCATCCTCATTCTGGGATTTTAACTGTGAAATAAGCGAATAAATGTATGAAAATATTATTCCACAAGAACCTGATAATATTAATTGGAAATACTACTCTAATACTTACCCTAAATTTATAAAGTGAGTTTTTCTTAAGGCCATGACAGGTGTACGATGTCTCTTTTCCGCTATAAGCAGCCAAGTATCCATGATCTGAATCTGGGTCTTCCATTTGAAGGGTGAATTCATCATCTTGAGGCCTTGCTTGCCATTGGAGGGTCAAAGTTGTCGGTGTAGAATGGGTGAGAGTAACAGGAAGAGGTTGGGGTGGAGGGCTATCACAGGTGTGATATTCCACTGATGGGGAATAGTCACTAAAAACATAAAACATTATTATTATTTACAATGTTTTTCAAATGACGCAGTGGTTTTGATTTAATTTTTAATATTACCTTTTGCCAAATTGGTTAATAGCAGCTATTCTGAATGTGTATGATGTGGCCGGTTGTAATTTAGAAATAACAGTCTGTTTATTTTTGCTTTGGGAAATTTCAGTCCAGTTTCCATTCAATTCACTTTCAATGATATAACGCTCAATTGGTGATCCATTGTCCTTAGCAGCTAACCACCTGTTACAAGAATTAGTTTTGTAGGGCCATTTCATGATCAGAAATATTAAAATAGTAATATATACTTGAGCGTGAGGGAATGTCGATTTCGTCCAGATAATTTCGGTGCAGGAGGAGGATCTGGCTTACAAGGGGGTGTTGTAAAAAGTGTTGGCTCACTTGCGCAGCCAACAACGTTATCCAGTCTAGCGCTAACACAGACTAAATATTCAGTACCAGGTTTTAAGTCTTCAATACTAAAAAAACAAAATTATATATCGTTTGTGAGTTTTATTGTGTGAAAATGTTTTAAAAACTCACCGGCAGGAGAGAGCAGCTCCAGAATAAATGGACTTGTACTTCCCTTCTTTACATCTATCGCTCAGCAAAACTTCGTAGTTCAATCCTTGTGGGTTGTCCACTTTCGGTGCACTCCATTGCACTAACGCAGTTCTGCTCATTACTTCACTTACTTGGGGAACGTTGATGTTCCCTAGCAGTTCTGTGAGCAAGTTCACGTCTTCTTCCTCATCCTGCAGACTCGAACTCTCCTCCCCATCTTCAGACGTTCCGACGCTACTCACACCTTTCCTACTGTTTCCATTAAGCTCTAAAATTAAACAATAATCCAAAATGAATTTAAGATATATTTTCGTTGAAGATTAGCTTTATTTAGTAGTATAATTAGAGCTGATGAATAGTTTAACAAGTTTTTGAAATGCACAAAAGTGTATTGACACTTTTATTTTAGCTATCACAAAGTTCTAAATTTTCAATTCAGCCAATCTGATAATTAATTAAATGCCAATCCGTGGCAAGATCTTTCTTGAGTTGCTGAAGTTTCCAATCACCCATTAAGAAATTGCAGTACAAAATGGACTTTTATCGAAAACCTTGACATTTCAACTTTCCCTTGCTTTATGAAATTCACTCTAGGAATTTGTAAACTTTTAAAAATGGCACAGGCAAGAGCCACCTTTTTAAATTGTCAAATTATCCAGTTAAAAGCCATTCATTGTTTTTCAAGTAACAAACGGATCAATTGTACTTGAATGCAGGACGCATGGAAAAAGTACCAAACAACATGCTTGGCATAATTTTAAACTAAATTTATGACCTTTGCTGACTTTGCTCTCCTTGACAATGTAAACATGACATTTCTATTTATCATTTCTAATTTAAACATGTGAATGATGTCAGAAGTTTAGACACGGGCTATCATATTGACCCGGTGGGAAATGTAAAATATCTTCACACCAACAATAAAGGGACATATGAAATAGCAAAATGTAAAAATGAAGAAAAATAAAAATTATTCAGAAATCGTGAGATGCGGTCTGGTGTGATGTAGGTTTCAGAAAAACATTTTCTTTATCGTGCCAACGTTTCGATCTTTATTGAGATCATCTTCATGGCCTGGGATTTACAAACGTTGTTTACATTTAACAAATACATTTAGGATGTGGAAAAATAAAAATGTTTAAATTTTCAACTAGAAATGCTATTATTATTAATTATATTATCTTTAATTATTAAAAAGATAACAACTATAGTTAACAGTGTAGGGATTAGCTGTAAGAAAGAAGTAAGAAAAACAAAGACTGCGGCAGTGGCAATTACCTTTTCTCGGCGATAGCGGCGGGGTGGTGTTAAGGGGATGCTCTCTTAGCTGCTTAGCTTCCAACTTCTTTTTTAGCTTATTGTATTGCTTCTGGCTTCTCTCGTCTTTATGGAAGCTATGCGGAGGGGGCGAGTGTCCTGAAACAGAATGGTAAAAATAACATAAGTCGGGAGGCGTGACATTTTCACCATATCAGCAGGGCTATTTTCGACAGTCCGGATCGTGAAATGTGTGTTGTTCCTATTGTAAAAGAAGTGACCGTCTCCAAAGTAGGAAGTCTGCAAAGTTCACGACAAAGTCTAGTCTTTTATTGCGCACTTTGAAAAGACGTTAAAGACGTGCCGTATGGGAGAAAGCGTCCTGAACCAATGAGTAACGGCCGAGGAAATGTCACTCTTCTTTCATAAACAGTGACGAAATAGTAAAGGGGAATTTTCTGTAGCGTTCCTGTCGGCTTCACCTTAATTGTTATTGTGCGTCTTTTCTGATTACAGACTGAGTCGAAACCGACTCTGAGAAAGACAGGATGATAAATGCTGAAACGCGTCTAGTCGAGTTTCATTTCACCGACCGTGCAGTTTAAATTACATACTCCAAAAATGTACAAAAGGACCGATCATTAAATTTTTTATGTATATCCAGATCAGTGAGTCATTTTTTTCTTCACTCTACATGTGCGAGAGTACCTTACTAATATGGTAAAGAAAAGGTGGCAGCGTCAGGGGACTGGGTCATCCGAGTTCTTGCTTATCAAGAGCTCGGTCGATAAGTAGCTCACAGAGGCTAGTTTCACACAAAGCTGTTTTAGTTGATTCAACTGAGTTGCTGGGTGGACTCACAACTAGTTTCTGACATGTGAAGACTTTTCTCGGCAAGGTTTCACACCAGGCCAACGAGAGTTCATCAGGACGTTAGAACCCGAGAAAGCACTCCTGTTGAAATCGAGATGACATTTCGTGCCACTTCTCTCCAAGCTTCGCTTCTTTTATTTTAACTCAAAATTCATTACACCTTGTCCCACATCGCGGGATTAAAACGAATGTCTTCAATAACACTTCCACGTTGAAATTTGAAGTAGGAACGCTTTCTGTAGTGAATTCAGTTGACTCAACTAGGCGACTGCTGTGAAAGAAGAATGCAGACTAGTGTGTTTTGAGCTGAGCAAACCAGTGGGGCTGAGACGTTAGTGCACTTGTTGACCTAGGCGGACGAGCTGACTGCGTTTGAAGGGTTTCGGGAGGTTTCAAAGGACTACACTGCTGATGCCCGTCCTTTCAACTAGTTGAATCATCCTCTTATGAAAGAGGCCTAAATCACGGAAGAAGGACTCAGAATTGGCCATACGGGGTTGACACAAGGTCACTTACTTTTGGGCCAAAGCCCGCGTATATGTCCGGCAGAGAAAGTTTGCTCAATGTGTCTCACTTAACTGAAGGATGTCATTCCTTGGTTCTACATAGGGAGCGAGTAGAAATGCCACCCGATGAGAATTGTGCTCGAGTACGGCAGCGAATCTTTGGATCGCCTATTTCGATTTTTTTTTTTTAAATTAAGAAAACAGTTGGTTAATTCTGTATTTATAAATCCTTTGTGTATTGCAAGTAATCCTATTGTTGCATATATACTACATTTGGTGATAAATGTTTTAAAGTTTCAGGGAAAACGTATTTATACGCGTGAATGTGTGTTGTATAAGAGGGTGGATGTAGGAATATCGAGTACCCCAACGACCGTAAGTTGATTGTATGTGTCAAGGGTGATGGACGAATATCTAGTATATCATCATCCTACTTGAAAGCAAGGTATGCAGATAAGAAAGCTCGCATTTATTGATATGTATATGCTTAGGTTAAAACTGCATGCGTTAGAGGCTGAAATAACTTGTTGCACCTTTAGCCCAACTTGAACGGTGTAACCATTCAAATATCCTGCAGTAATAATCTTGGGAGCGTGAAAAGAAGTTAAAAGGTAGAAGGTTTCTCGTTGGAGAATTAACATTTAGTTTATGGATGTAAATTCCTAATGAATCATGCATGAATGGTATTTGTTACAGTTATCAGAACTTCATATTTGTAGCACCTGGATCCTTCGTTAGATCGATTTTACTTTTGGTTTCTCCTTCTGGTGCAATCAAAGATGTGGCAGACGGCAGTAGCCACAACAGCAACACTTTAGGTACTGTTTATGGTTATTTTTTTATCATAAAAGCCTAAAAGTGTACAGTGCATAAAAATTAAATCTTATGGCCAAAATAACATTGTCGTCTAAATTGCTTTGCACTGCACAAGGATTATGGAAATGATTTATTGCCACGTCTTATGATGATGTTTATCGATTAGACCCCTGGGAAGACCGATAGGACAGGACAAAGAAACGGGCAGGTAGGTCAATCGGAGAAGCGGCGCCGCTCGGCTGTCATTAGAATCTGTTGACGTTCAATTCAACGTTAATTAAAACTGCCTGATTAAGTGATTGTTCGTTGTGACGCGTGGGAGCTTAATGTCCTCCTCTTCGGGTCTTCGCCTCGTCGACTTTGTCTCCTGCAAGAATGAAACACGAGTAAACCGGAGGCAAGATTACTATTTAAGACTTATTGTTGGATCGTTATTGTCCCAAGCGGTCTACAATACCTATTCACCGTACTCTATTATCTTTTATTAAAACCTAAGGTTATTATTTGTCCCTAAAATTTTTAATGAATTTTTTATTCCTGAATTTGCACTTAGATCGTTTCAGATCATCCTGATTTTACACCAAGGTAGAGAATTCTGAAATCAGAAGACAACCGATTACACAGATCAACGCGATCGGGGGAATGACCAAACCGCAGGGTCATCTTGTAGACCTTTAGAAGAAATGTCGCAATATAAAAAATATATATTACATTCTGCAAGACAAAGCTAACACTGTACCAAACTTGTTTTCTGGGTAGATGAGTCATTATTGGGTGTCCTGTTGAGAGCGCCCAAAGCATGCCGATGGTCGAAAGCATGCCAGTAACAACTGAATTTACTTTCTTTTTCAAGACCATACTTTGAACCAGAGTGCTCGTGAATAATAATAATAAAGTTTACTGAACTTATGTATTACTTTTACGAGAAGAAATAAAAATAAATATATAAATAAGGATAGGTAAGGAAATTCCGTCTGCCGGAAGATGCCCTTAGCAAATGCATTCATGAATGCATATTTATAATCATATATAATTAGGCATAAAAACATACAGGTACATAATAAAAGACTAGATTAGATAGATTATAGGTTATAAATGTAGAAAGGCGAATGGGAAACAATTGTTTGATAGAGGAAGGAGCCAAGAAAGCTCAGAATGCGATAGGAGGGGTACAGCCAGTTCAAATCACATCTATTAGACACATGAAATCTCTTTGGGTTGGCAGTTTATGATTTTCTTGAATCTGCTAACAAACTCGCTGGTGAGACCACCGAAGATCAAACAAACAATCGAAATGGGGAAGCACAAGGAAGGAGAACAGGGGTTTGCGGGTGATGGTTGGGAAAAGATGACTTGCTTGGCGTAGAGTAGAGAAACAACGGGTGATTTGGGTAATGTGAGGTTTCCAGGATAGGGCTTCGATCAAGCTGATTTTTTTGTTTTTAATGAATACGATATTTATTAACTGTTTCCATGCGGATTAGTAAAATACGACTAATATAAATAATAAGGTGTAGTGTGGTTTTGCTGAATGCATTACTTAACAACTCGGGAGGACAACGCCCTGTTCTCTCTTCCATCAAATGTGACCAACTAATTGAAACAGAAATGTAGATTTTCATGTCTTGACGATTTTTATGCCATTGCTGAGACTTTCTTTTAGATTTTGGCCTATTTTAAAAGGAAAGGGCAAAAAGAACATAACAGCTTTACTATCGGATCGGTCGTGGAGGTTAACTGTCAAACACACAGTCAGGGGTTAAGTTATTCGATATTAATGTTTTTTCTGCGTCTAACGATGCAGTGGTTAAGACAATTACTTTTGTTATCAGCAGCAGAAAACGAGGATCTTTAAATTAACAATATGCATTAGAAAACGTGTAGAAGGCTGTACGAACGAGACAGAATTGATTTATTATGTAGCAGATGAAGGGTAATGAGTGTAAAATTGAGTTTCTAACGGCCGGGAGATGCAGATAAAGACATTAGGCCAGGATACGGGGCGAAGGAGTTGAAGGGTTACGGGGCCGAATTTACGCACGATTCGGGTACTCGACCCATTAGAGGATTATCGAATGAAATGAAAATATCTGTGGAATTTACAAGATTAAAAAACAACCACTTCAATCAGTCGATGGTCGGAGTAGAACGGTCAATATCTGAAAAAAATGCTCGATTTCTCAGATCTGAAATCATAACCGTAAAATTGGAAACAAGTTCGCACAACGGGAACAGGGCGAGGGGTCTCCCTGCGGCGCGTGGGTGCGGATAAATACGGCCGTTTCCAGGGTGAACAGGGATAAATGAAAAGGTCGAGGGCGTGGCCGTGTAGGAGGAAATGTGTAGGGAGCCGAATCCCAGTTTCGGTGAAGTACTCCCACACGGAAACAACCCTTTTTCAGTATCGTGTCGCTATTTTGATACGTACCTTGAGGGGGTCCGTGACCGAGAACTCCGGCGGGAAGAGGGCTGAACGAGTGGTAGCCGTGGGGCATCGCTCCCGGGTAGAAGCCCTGGGGCTGGTTCGAACCGCTGGGGTTTCCAGCGCCCTGAAAACACAAAAATTCGTCAAATAGGCTGTTTTATACTGAAAAACAAATAAGGAAGTGACCAACTAGCATTTCAAGAATTAATCTCCTGGGGTCGACCACTTGTCGTTTTCCAACGCTTCATATGAGATTTTATCTTTACTTCAGAAGGAACACTCTATAATTCTCTGTTGTAATTTAATTGACTCATTGAGATGTGTTGGGTTTTTTAACGATTGCAGCAGCTGATAAATTTCTATATTTAAGGAAAACGACTTTTCCGCTACCAAAATAAAATAATAAATGAACAAGTTGAGAAAACACCATTTAGCGCTGTATAAGCTTCGTAATAAATAATGGGAAGAACAATTTACTATGTTTTGCAAATGGAATTCTTTTCAAAACAAATGGAATTCTTTTCAAAACAAACCATAGGCGTACATTTTCTGAAAAGCTTCTTAGATTTTTTCTCATGAGGCGTCGGTGGCCGCAACGGTTTAGGCGTTGACACGGCGCTCATCACTGTAAGGTAAAGGTCTCGGGTTCGAATCCAGCGGCCCTGCATTCGAACCCGACATACTTACAAATGGGCTTTTTTTGCAAAAACACCGGCACCCTGAGGGTTTATGTGACCTCTGCTGTCGCGAACCCTCATAAAAAAAAAGAAGAAAAAGAAGAAGATTTTTCTCTTTTGTGTAGTGATCTCTGCAGAATTTCAGTATTAGCATAATAGAAAATTGTTTGTACAAAATTACGTATTCTATATGATATACATTTATAGAACTGAAACATGGAACCGTCTTTTTAGATTGATTGTTCACCGATTATAGGGTGTTCGGCTACTGGTGTTAAAACTTTGCCAGTAAATTCTACACTCAAAATGGAACCATAAAGTCCTAATTAACTATGGTCCGAATCTCAACAGTTTCGGAGTTATTCTCCTTTTATGGATTTTTTAAGATTTTACGGCCATGCTTGAAATAAACAATGATTACTACAAAACTAAAAGGTTTTGGACAAATCCGTTGATACCACTAAAAACTACATTAAATTTCCAACAAGATGTGATCAATTATAAACTTGGAAACGTTGGTGAAGTAAGCGTTTAGTAGCCAGAACTTTGAAAAAATAATTTCGAAGTTGAAAAACTTACTATGGTGATTCTAAACTACTATTTCCAAACATTGATACCAGCAAATTTCAAAAAAGCGTACACCATTTAATATCCTTTTTAGTGGTGTAATTGCCTTTTTAATTACTTTTTTCAAAGATGAAGAAATTGATGAAGGAAAGGAAATTTTGAATGAATTTTTTAAATGTAATTTGGAACCGAAACTTGCATACTTATTTAACAACACGACAGCAACTTATAGATTATAGGATTATTACACCCCGGAATAAAATAGACAAAACGCTTTTAGTTCATTCATTACAAATTTCCTTAAGTTTTTTATTTTTTATTATTGTTAATCTTTCCGTCTTACCAATCCATCAACCACGGTTTTTCCTGTCATTCATCAACTTCTTCATCTTAGAAAAAAGTAATTAAAAAAGCAATTATACCCTAAAAGGATATTAAATGGTATAAGCTTTTTTGAAATTTGCTGGTGTCAATGTTTGGAAATAGTAGTTTAGAATCACCACAGTAAGTTTTTCACTTTGAAATAATTTTTTTTTTTCAATGTTCTGGCTTCTAAACGCTTATTTTACCAACGTTTACAAGTTTATAATTGATCACATCTTGTTGGAAATTGAATGTAGTTTTCAGTGGTATCAACAGATTTGTCCAAAACTTTTCAGTTTTGTAGTTATCATTGTTTATATGAAGCTTGATCGTGAAATCTTAAAAACTCCATAAAAGGGGGACAACTCCGAAACTGTTGAGATTCGGACCATTGTTAATTAAGACTTTTTGGCTCCATTTTGAATGCAGAATCACTGGCAAAGTTTGTAACACGAGTAACCGAACAGCCTGTGTCTGACATTCACGTAAAACCGAACTTTCAAATTGCACTAAAAAGAAAACTTTTCGTGAATTCTGAACAAATTTTCTTAAATTCTGAACACAGTGGAAACTCAATTTTCAAACTTCATTTAACATCAGATCAAAATAAACATTACGTTTGTGCAATTAATACTTTACAATTAATTAAGGTTTTTAGTTGAGATGAAAAAAAGTTAATGGCACGAGAGGGATTCGAACCCACGACCTTCGGCTATATATACGCCTCTCGTGCCATTAACTTTTTTTCATCTCAACTAAAAACCTTAATTAATTGTAAAGTATTAATTGGTCAAGCGAACCACGAAATTAGTGAATTTAATGAATTAAAATGAATTACGTTTGTGTATATAAATTTTCAAAATAAATTCAAGTTGTGCCATCATTTCATTCACAGTGCAATCAAACAAAGGATTCCGACTAGTTATAAAATGTCTTATTATCATTTAATAAATTTGAGTGAGATCTATTTGTCAGAGTAACAACACAGCATCAATAATATCAACAGTGTAATTAATGTGTGGTGATTGGTGACCGTTAATCGTTATTTATTTAGAAATCGTGAGATGCGGTCTGGTATGATGTAGGTTTCAGAAAAACATATCGTGCCAACGTTTCGATCTTTATTGAGATCATCATCAGGCCTCAAAGTGTTTATCTTCTGTGTAATTGTGCCATTCTTGCGTGTCGTGTCGAGAGTGTAATTAATCAAAAACAAAGAATATATAAATGTAACTGCACCGTGCACTATTTGCCGGCCTAAATAAAACAAGTTAAACACAATTACTGCTAGAGGAAGGCATATAGCACCTGCAATTAGGCGGTATAATGACCGATAACCGGGATTCCGTTGAAAACGCTTTTAAAAGACAAACAGCGCAAGGTTTGGATCAAAAAATACTAATTAAGACTATTTAAAACAACTATCAAATTGCACACAGCAAAACGGCATTCATGTGACTAGACTTCTGTTTGTATCAGGTTTTCATGTTAATTGATTAGAATGAATGTGATTTATTAGCGTGAAAGGAAGTTGTTTAACCTAACTCCGAGGAATATCGAGTACACTGGGGTGAGTATGTGACGTCTGTAGAGTAAAGGGAATTTATTAGCGTGAATGGAGTAGGTTCAACCCCCGAGGAATATCGAGTACTCTCAATGAGGGAATGTGACAAGACTTCTATGTTTGTGGTATGTATTGCCTGTTTATTCTGTAAATGGCATCCCGAGGTACAATGAAAGACAAGCATTTTAGGATATTGACTGTTTTCATATCAAAAAAGCAGGTTCAATTCCAGATCGAGACGCTTAAATGCACGCTGAAAAATACGTGTCAAAGACCAGAAAGGGAAGTAAAAACACGCAGAGGGCCAGCGACCTCAGCCTGTTTGTCCGCCTCTAACTTCCCACAGTATTATCACTATTTGTAAATATTTACATACGCTTGTTTGTCAAATACAGTTATCACGGTAGAGTAATTAAAGGTGTTTGTAACAAATTAAACACAGAAAAGTTTGGGGCAATGTTAGTAATGTCTTTTCTTCGTTCCAAATGCTGGTGAAAGTCAGAATGTGCATCGATGCACTGACGTTGGGTTACTCGTCGTCGTGGGGAGGCGGTGACACAACTGCTCAGAAATGCACTTCCACAAACCCACTTAAAAGTAGCTTTCCTCCTGGAATTATTTTTATTCCCGCGAAGAGATTACCGTTGGGCCGAACCCAGAGTCCGATAAATTTATTGTTCTGTATTTCTAGATAAGACCGTATTTTCGTTAAGGCCGTAAGTAAACGTTCTTCCCCTGAATCCCGAGCCTTCGTGCGTGCTAAAACTGTTTCCCCTACCCGACCTGGGGGAAAAACGGTTTAAAACGCGATATCGATCTCAATTCAGAAGCGATTTTCTATATCGGAAGAAAGCAGAAAATAAGTAAAAATGCCGCAAAACGATCCACTTTTCTTATTCTCCGGGGCACAGTCGAGCGCGGATGTCTGTCTTCTGCTTTCATTTCGAAACGAAAGGCTCTTGGGTGCACTTCGTTTGCGGTTTTTTCCCCGTCGTGGAAAAAGAAGCAACGTCAATGTTAATTTAATGAAAGCGTATGGAGAGAAACCCTCTCTCCTAAAATTTACACTTTTATTTTTCCAACAGAAAACTGAGAAATAGTACTTTTTTTCTGTCAATAGGAATTTTGCCTTCAATGAACTATATTCCTTCTTCATAATTCGCTAGTTTTCGTGGTCCGCTTGACCAATTAATATCTTTCAATTAATTAAAGTTTTTAGTTGAGGTAAAAAAAGGCAGCGTCACGAGCGGGATTCGAACCCACAACCTTCGGCTTGATACGCCGCTACTCAACCACTTGAGCTATCGTGACTTCGATCCACTCGGACACTAACTTCCCATCTCAATCCCACCTTTCTTCATAATGTGAAGGAAAGCCAATATCGTTAAAAGCTTTAATTAAACTTGAATCAATAGCAATTTTCAGGGAAAGCGTTGTACATTAAACTTCACTTATCAACGTTTATGGTGCAATGTTTCCCCTCTAGACATTCATCTGTCCAGTTGATGTTACACAATATTCGTCTCTGAATAAAATGTTATTTGTGCATGTTAACTGACAATGACTCTTGTACACGAACGTAAACGATGGTACTTGATGCTTGCTACATAAATCAAGAAGTAGAATTACATAAACAAAAGAAAGTGAAAGTGCAAATCCGCAGCAAATATATATATAAAGTTTTTGTTAACGTATTTTTGGTGGATTTAAACGAAATTTCAAAACGATTGAATTAAAAAAAATTGTAAACGATTTTGTTATAAACGGAACGGGAAATGCCATTGCTTGAAAAGTATCCTGGAGTGAATAACTTGTGTGGTTTATTCGCATAGGTCTATTCGAAACTGTCGACCATAATTATTCTTTTGTGCGTCTTTCTTGTTAAGTTGATTGTTCTGTAAAGTTTTTCATATATTTGATATAAGTTCAAAACCCAATTGGTACAACAAATTT